TGTTTTGAATAAGACTTTTGCTTGAATGCCTTCTTTCAATGTAATCAACTCTTCTTGCATCAAAATATCAAGATAAATGCATCATATTTCAATTTTATGAGCAATGCTGGCATATTCAGACTTTCAGTGCTTTTGAAGTGAATATTAAAGTCTTATTTTAAGTTTTGTAAACAGTTCCTGTTTATAAAATATACATATAATCTTAAAGGAAATTCCATGTTCTTCATATATATTTTCTTTTTGTGTGTTTTCTTGTGTTCTGCCTTTTTTTTTTTTTTTAATTTTTATTTATTTTTATTATTTTATTTTTTTTTCATAGAAGATTATTTTAAAAGAACTGATTTTTAAATATATTAAATAATTTATGTAATTTTCTCTTATACTTAGTTTATATAATTCCTTTCTTACTACAGGACATTGCTTTATAACAGGCTGTCCAACTGTACAATACACATTTATTTTTACAGTCCACAGTACATTTTCATGAATAATTTATTTACTAAATTATTATTATTATTTATTATATTAAATTATTACTTTGCAAAATTTATCTAATTTTTTTAAAGTGGTACTATTTAGTTGACTTCAGTTAACCTGGCTGAATACAGCAGCATCCGTTTAATCTGATGATGGTTGGCTTAACGTTGGTGCCACATATTATATATGTGGTTGGTTGTTGTATTATGGTTAGGGCACGTGATGGTACACCCTGCACTATTTGGTGATTCATGCAATCGTGCGAGTGCAGTCTTGTCTAGAATTTGTTGAGCGGTGACTGTGTTATAATATTATAACTTAATTTCCATATTTATTTATTAATTACAATAATTATTGAATATGAGTTACTAAAAAAGAAAATAGACCTCGAAAATCGATTTCAATTGCGGGGATAGATTTTATTTATTCTGAACAAGATTGTACCACAGTTTTGGAATGTTACAAATCATAGCGGTGTGTAAAGAATATACTTGAGTGCCATTATCTTTCCATGCATGGAAAAAAGTATCATTCGACACGCACGCATGGAAATATCACTGTGAAAAATGAAAGCAGCTCGATCAGCAAACAATTTTTTAATCAAAACCAAATTTCAAGAAGCATCTGTAGCTGCATCGTTTGAAGTTTGTGTGAAATAGTAAGGAAAGAAGCCGTTTTTGGATGGAGAATTCATTAAAATTTTGCCATAAAAATGCTCAAGCATTTAATTAGAAAGGTGGAAAAATTTCAAACAGTTCACTTTCTACCAGACGTAAGGGCGCTTAAACGAGGCTTAGCATGCAGTCACTAATAAATTAGAAAACCTATAATGTTGCTGCTATTTTCGTAGCACTGGATGAAGCACAGCCGTTCCAAACAAGTCGATGCTATCTTTAAGAATGTAAATGAAACTGAAATATTCAGAATAACTCAAAATTACAATCAGTAATGGAACAAAATTGTGAAGATATTTCAACATGTAAAATGTTCAGGTAGCGCATGTGGGGTTTGACAAGTGCACGCTGTTGAACCAATGGTTCGGTTGCTATGACGGGCAAATATGGCTTGTGGGACTTTTGCAAAAGAAGAGTAAAGGCATATTTCACTGTATATCATCAGGAGGCATGATGGGTGTAGTACTACAACTAAAAGAGAGGAAAAAAGTTTGCAAAGTACTAACTTAGTTCACGTCGGAATCGTCTCTACACACCGACATTTAACTTTTTAGAGTGGTGGAAATGCTTATGGAATCTGCTTTTACATAGTATGTTCGTTGATTAAGTGTGGAAGGCTGAGGAGCTTCTTAACTTCGAGAAGTTCATCTTTTTCAAAAATTGCCGTCAATAAATTTGACAGAAATTTGTGATAAAAATTTACTTTCACTTGCTTTCCTAACGCGTTACAAATTTAAATATTTGGAATAAAGCCTTGCATGTGTACGTATCAGATGATCGAAGGTTGTTGTGCGTTTGCGGTGATCTATTGCGCCAGATTATTTACTGTACATTTATTACAATTTATTAAAGTATGCCCACCTGCTGTTTACAAGCGTTATGCCTCGGCATGTACAGGATGACGACTATTCTGCACTGACAGATCTAGGCAATTACCTCGATTAGCGGAATGACCCACATGTGACTTCCGTGCCCTACTTCTGTAACGCAATAACTTTGTAGGTGCGCCCTCTGGGCACAATCACCGCAATCACCGATAGGCCAAACTCCTCCCCCCGTATTACATTCATCTTAATACATCTCAATAATGCAAACAGGAATGAAATAGAGAACTGAAAAGCTACAAAACCTTCAAAAGTTTAAAATTACATATCACATTAGCCACTTCTAGCAAACATCTTATTCTTACTATTGAAACAGTAACTGAGGGTTACACTAGAAAATAAAATTATTAGTACATAAGAAAGAAAAAATAATAAACATATTCAATAAACCAACACTAAGTTAAGTTCTTCAACTGGTAAAGACACAGTTGGTAAGAGAACTTTTAATGCCCCGTGCACGTTTTTAGTAACCACTCGACATTTTGTCTCTTCGCAGGAAACACTCTTACCGCCCGAGTTCCACTGTACTGAAGGCATATTATCTTCTTATGAGAACAATTATTTAGACGAAGTTCTCTATGCTGTCTCCATGCTACACTGGTATTGGCACAGTTACTCTTTAGACCACGCTTCCAGAACTTTGGAACCCTGCTGTGAGTTGCATCTTTGCAATGGAGCACTCGTACTTGCTTAATCTTGTTCGGAACGTTTTAAGAAGTCCCTAGAATAAAGTGTCATGCTCAAGCTGCGAACATTGGATCACTGAACCGTTATTGGCCTCGATGTAAGTATCTTCGATTTGGCAATTAGGTTAGAAACTCTCATAAGCAAATTGAGTTTCCAACACATTCTTTAGATGCAGCTTCATAGATCTAACACGACTCACATATACCACCATGAGTGGGCAGCGGGGGTTGATTTCACCCTTTGTTTCAATTGAATTGAGGTGACTGGACAGATGAAACTCTTCCTTGAGGATTTTATTTAACTGTAAAAATTGGTCCACAATCACTTCTTAGTTCTTGAGGTTTTCCCCCCTCGAAGCAAATCGTTTAGACAGTAGGAATGCTTAAATTGATAAGTCACGAGCATCTCAAAATGGATAGCTTTGTAGCCTAAACAAAAAAATACAGACGTACGTTTACTGGTTTTATACTCTTCCCTTCATTTAACAGAAAAGGGCCGGCGTAACAATGCCAACATTTGAAAAGGTTTGCTTTAAAAGTGTTGTTCAAACAGAAAACACATTTGTTTTCCAAAAATAAATATTACAAGCAAACTGAGGGATTAGCCATGGGAAGCCCCCCAGTCCCATCCTGGCTGATATTACATGCATTATTATGAATCAAAATTGTTTTGAAACTTTAAACTGCCGCATGGTTCCGCTACGTAGACGATACTTTTACCCTGTTTGAGGTAATAAAGATGATTAAATAGAGTTCTTTCAACAATGAATTCTATTGATCCTGCTATTCAGTCATTTTGAACTTGAGACTTGCAATTCTCTTCGTTCTCGACATTATGGTCACACTAACACATCCAACTTCAGTACTACAGTTTACCGTAAACCTTATCGGTTTGCCTTCCCACCACACTTTAAATCATGTCATCCGACTAAACAAAATTTAGCTTCATTTTATTCCTATGTTTTCCGTGCTCTCAAGTTTGCTCCTCCAAACTAGCCCTTGAGAAGAATAAATTATTTAAAAGCATGCTATTGACGGGGCTTTTCCCACCTAACATTATTAATCAAGAAGTTAAAAAAAATTCTCATCTCAACACACTAAAGCCACACTCTTTTTAGGAGATTATAAAAATTCTGTTGTATTCCCTTCTTACATCAATTAGCTATAAAGTTGCACATATTTTGAGAATTAACTTTCGGTTGTTTACTCTCCCATCAATAAATTCCATTCTATATCAAGGACCCCTTCGGATATGAATCCCTGCGGTATTTAGGATTCCTTCCAGTGCGGTTTAATGACATTGGCCCAAATAGCGACCTTAAAATTCGCGTAAGAACATGAGGAATATGTTAGAAAAAAGGAAACCAGAAGTCTGTTGCTCAACATGGTGGGTCCGAAAATCACACTTCAATTTTTCTGCTGCCAAAATATCAAAAAACATCTTCCATTGGGAACTGGATTTTAGAGGCATTCACATTCATAAAAACTTCTGTTCTGTTAACGATCCTAATTCCAACCAAATTGCCTTCGGCTTTTAAGAAATTATTTTAGTCTGGTTTCCAAAGATGCGCACTGCTTATTCTTGTCAGTTTCTTATCTCTAAACATATTTCCTATCTTGCATTGCGGTTTGCAGTGAAGATGATGTTCGGTAAACCTCGAAACAGTCTGTGAAAATTTGTAAATTACGCTGATTTTGTTGTTGACTTCTGAATTAGTATTTATTGGCGTGTTATTGTGCTTAAATATAATTATATTGTTGCTATACATTGCACTGTTAGTTTGAAAGATTTAAAGATAGTATATACTTGATAATAAATTAACAATTTTCTTTTTGCCACACACACACATGGTAGGGGGGGAGAACTTACTGTGGTATAGTTACATGAAGTATTTTACATAGACAGAGTAGATATATAGTGTTATAATTAATGTATACATAATGAATATTGTTTCAGTATGTACTTCTTAACATTGGCTAAACAAAACATGTTTAGTATATGCAGAGTAAGCACATCTCTAAAACTAGCTCTTACATATTCAGAAGCTGATCACTACTGATTTACGTTTTAGAAATATCTGTTCTTATATCTTGTTAAAAATGATTTAAGCCAGTCCCCCCCAATAAACTTATCTTCATATTTAAATATGTGAAGAAGAAAATATTTTATAAACTTCTTCCTACAAAGCATTTTAAAAAGAGTCTGCCAGATGTTAGATCTTTGAGATTATTTCAAAAACAGGTCAACTTTGCTTTTGGGTAAAATAAATAAATTATACTCACTTCCTTGATTCTAATGTTGGGGAAATTCGCAGCATCATTATTTGTAATGAGAAGACATGGGCTATTCAGCCGTTTAGCTTGATGAACAAGCATGTAACATCGTCTGTTATCAAGATCATTTGCAACAATTAAACCATCTGCAAAATAAGAACTTACATATAAAGCACATATAAACTACAGTGTTATTCAATAATATAAAAGCAAAAATGTACATATATATAAACCTGGAATCTTTCCTTCATCACTATGTAGAAATTCAATAAGTTGAGCCGTTTTAGATCCTGGAGCAGCACACATATCTAAGACCTATAAAATTATTTGAATTTTCTTTTCTTTCATAAAATATTCATAAAATAAATGGTAATTGTTTAGAGAATAGATAAAGATCCCATATTTTAAAAACAAAATTAACTACAACTGTTTAAAGAACATAAAGAATAGTTTTTAGATCCTATAAATTTTAAAAAAAACTATGATATTAACTTATTGTTAATACTCAAGACTAAAAAATAAATATTTTTAAACAACACTTGTTCTTGTTTGTTAACTTCCTGTTTCGTGTATGGCACTAACACACACAAGACAGGAAGTCACCTTTTAAGATCATTTTTTGTTTAAAAGTAGGAGAATATAAATCAAACATTTATAAAAATACTACTACAGTCAAAAGTCGTTAATCCAGACTCGGCAGGACTTCGGAGAGTTCGGATTATCGATTTTTCCCAATTATAGATCATCAGTTTAAATCTGGCAAGATGGCACGCAGAAATTATAAAATTAAAAATATGAAACCTTAATTTATGAAATAAGAACGATTATGATCTAAAGGAGATCAAAATTTTACACACAAAAAAAAAAAAAGCTAATATTTATTTGTTCTTTATTTAACCTTTCTTAAATGTAGTTGTTTAAGTTGCTTTGTTTATGTGAAATACTTTCTCTTTAAGTCTATAAAACAGACATAATTTTTGTTCAGTTACAACTTCCGGTCAAGTCCTTAGCAGTGCGAGAATACCGACTTATTTGTCAAATGAAATTTTTGTTTCAATAATCTATGTGTCACTTTCTTCACTATGGAAGCGAATTATAATGAGAGAATTGATTTAAAAATCATATCAAAGACGGAAGCATCGAGAGAAAATTACATTTAGTAAGGAATTATAAGCTGCATAAAAAAAAACATTGCCCTTAGATAGGATAGGATGACAGATAAACTTCCAAATCATTGCTCACCGCGCATTTCCCCCTCCCCCCCACAGGCAGCGTGAAATTGATAAACAGATTTCGGACATGGTGTAGAGAAACCAAAGGATACGCTATCCATTTTTTACCGGAAATTCCACTTTAATGGACTTTGAAACATACTTCGCTTGTAGATCCTTACAATTAGTAAATTATATATCAGAAATTAATTTCACAGAATATCGAAAGTCCAAGCTTATTTTATAAATTGCTCTAACAGTTCTACAAAAAAATAATAGCCGGATCAATCGAAGATTAAGGCAACAACGCAAATCGCAAATTAATGAATTAGATACTTTAGCTTAGATGATATGTCCGTGAACATATAAAACGGATGGTAAACGTATTAGCGCATGCGCACCGCATAATTGTAGCCATAACGGTCTTACGCGCATGCGTAAACGCCTATGCACATGCGTCAACACGGCGCATGCACAGAAGGTTTGTAGCTTTGAGGTCCGGATTATGGGTGTCCGAATTAACGACTTTTGACTGTATAATGATTTTATATTTTTAGCACTTATAAAGCAAAAAATAATTAAATATCATTCATTTGTTATAAATAAAATCTGGTATTTTTCCATTGATGGAAAACCATTTGATGCCAAATACAAATGCTGCCACAAAATCTAGTTACTGTTAGGAATGGTAACCTTAATAATACCTATAACTCTATGATAAGAATAGCTATTTTATTAATTCAAAATAAACTGAAAAGCAAAAAAACAAAAATTTACAAAAACCTCTGTAAACTATTGTACCATTAATTTTCATAACACACCATTTTGGTGCTTTGGTAGTAGTAAAATAAAGTTTCATTTTGTGGTTTCTCAAACACTTTCAGTATACAGATGATACCCTTGTCTCATGATATCTCCAAACAAAGATTTTAACAGATAATTAACTGAGGCTGTCTGAGGCAGTTACCATATCATGTAATCCATATTGAATCCCTTTTAAAAAATCACATTTCTGAAAAAAATGGCAAATGAAGATTGCAAAGGGAAAATTACATAAATGCTCAATTTTCCTCCTTAATTACAATGATATTATTGTATTGCAACTAGTGATGTACAGTAAACAGTTTACTACAATTTGAGCAGTTTTGTTTCCCTCTCATCTCTCTAATACTCTGAAAACTCAACTTCAGAACATTACTAACAATCTTATTATTATACACATACCTCACTTATTTATCTCGCTAATTTATGCTTTATAGCATATATATATATTTTAAAAATTATAAAGCTAACCTACTTTTATATTTACATTAGCATGTTATTTATATCTGACAGTTATAACTAAACTCTCATAATAAATATATTTTAAAATTAAATTTCTTAAAGAAAACTTAATTGAATATTTAGATGTAAGAAAAAATACAGCACTTCATAAATTATTGATTACTATTATATGTTCTGCAAGCAGAAATTAACTGTAACTTGTTTACTAAATACAAATAAAATAGACATCAAGTCGAAGTATAACAGATAATTTGAAAATTTTTTAGAAACAAATATTACATATATAAAAAAGAATGGACAAAATACTTCTTGAAACAAAGTCTAAAATTATACATATATTATTCACAATGTGCCAAAATAGTCCTCTTGATAGGGATACACTGTATAGAGTAGTAGACAATAACTTTAAATGAAGCATGTGATAAAAAAACGTATGAGTTACCGTTCTGGAATTTTATTAAAGGGATAAAAGCTTTTGTAAAATCTAAAATTATTGAACATTAATTATTATACTTTAACAGCTGAATTATTTTACTTTCAACAAAATACTGATTAAGCCAATGGTTTTCAAATTGTGCTTTAAATTATTTAAATTTTCAAATTATCTGTTATGCTTATGTCTGCTTATGTCTTAATGACTTAATGTCTGCTTTATTTGTATTTAGTAAACAAGTTAAAGTTAATTTCTGCTTGCAGAACATATAATAGTAATCAATAATTTATGAAGTGCTGTATTTTTTCTTACATCTAAATATTCAATTAAGTTAAGCCATGGAGCTCTACATAACTCTTCTAGGAGTTTTACAAGTAAAAATTAAAATTCAAGATATTAGTTTTGAATATCACATGGATCAAAAACTTAATATTTAAATAATTAATTAAATATTTTTAATTGTATTATTAGCTAAAACAATACAAAGCAGATCAGTTTTTATGAGTAAATTGATGATGAAATAATGATTTTCTTTTCATTCCCCAAATAAAGTATTTAATATTGAAATATTTTTAATTCTTTTTTCAACATTTATTTTTCTGGGGGTAACAGAGGTCTGGCACCCCCCCAGACACACACAGAGAGGGGGGGAAATGGATTACTTAACAAAATTTGAAGACCACTGGACTAGACCAATGTTTTCTAAACTTTTTAGCATAATGATCCTAATGACTCATATGCATACACACTGGTGTTCAAAATTAAGAGAAATTTCAAATGTGTTCAATTATCTCTAGAAGTGATAGAGAGATTTTAATGAAATTAAATTTGACATATAATACAAAAAAAAAAAAAAATACTGTGCAATAGTTATAAGTACATAATGAATCATCATGCATTACACTCATAGGTGCAAGAAGGAGATTACAAGGAAGGAAACAGAGATTACAAGATCAAACACAAAAGTAGGTTAATAGAAGTATGAGTTTAAGAGTCCCAGTTTTCAGAATGTAATATGATACTGCAAAATGAGATATTTTATGAATCCCTGTTGTATTTGGTCCCTCTCCTGCAGCAATGTTTTTTCAGGTCTCGGAAGGTCAGGCAGGGCAAGGTTGCTATTGCTCCCTCATGAGTCTCTCATACATATTTAATAGGGTTTAGATCTGAAGATCTGAATACTCAAACCACCAAGTTAATATTCTCACTCTCTTGAAAACCATTCCCTAGATTAGATTTATGTGGATGAGCATTTTGTCCATAAAAAATTGAGACCCAACTGCAGCCCTGAAAAGGCTGCAAGGCCTTAAGATTTGTTTCCTATACATTAAAACAGTCATAGTGTTTCCATAAAGTCAAGAAGGTTTGCGCGCTCATCCATTTTGCTGCCTACACATCAAACTTAAGCTATCATACTGGTCCCTTTCTCAGAAGATGGGGGGGGGAGAGGTAGCAGGCTCTTAGTTCTCTTGAGATGAAGGTATGCTAAGAATCAATGGTTAGGATGAAGAGTCATATCTGTGAAGAGAATGGTCCCCCACTGATGCATGGTCTAAAGTCGATGTTCTCTGTATCATGATAAACAGGCTCTTGTTTGTGCAGAAGTAATTGAGGCATAAATAATAGGTCTTCTCGCAAACTTTTCCATAAAGCAAAATTCAGTTGAATTATTGGATTTGTACCATGCATGTTTTTAATCACAGCCCTTTGTCGAAACACCATCCAATGTTTAAATGTGATTTTTGCAAGAGACTAAAAATGATGATAATTTTATTTATTCTACTCACAATTAATTGGATTCCACTATGATATTTGTAGGTTGAGAAGAAGACCAATACATCATCATATCCTTCCAGCATTTCCCTTCTCTTGTGAAACAAAAAAACTCCTTAGAGATGAATACATTTGATAACGAAGACTATTATTGTAAACAGGAAATGGTTTCTCAAAAAAGGAGAGCAGTAGGTACAAGAAATCAGTCTTTTTAAGTGCCTTTTAAAGATATCCATACCCCGATCCAAAGAAATAAAAAACTACATTTGTAAAGCTGAAATTTAAGTGAATTATGAATTGGAATTAGAATCTAAAGGTAAAATTTCTCTCAAAAAATAGGGTTGAAATGATGCCAAAGGGCACATTTTGAAGATTTTGTTAATGCAGATGAAGTAGTGGAAACATCATCTAAATTCTGGAATGCACAAATTTTAGATATAGTAACTGTCAAAATTCAGATTTAATTATTTAACAGTGAAAACAACAGTGAATTAGGTAACATACTTTTGATGCCCTAACTGTCAACAAGAGTGGAAGTTCTATAGATAATTCAAAATGTGAAAGATGCTGTCAATTTTATGTCAAGTGGCCAGGAAGCAGGGAAAAAACATTTACTTAGTTTGCAGGAACAAACAGCAAAATTCCAATAATCTGTATACTTTGAGAGGATGTATATCTGTACGAAGGGTTATGAGAATTAGAGAATTATGAATGTAGGTGGATCGGAAAAAAAAAAAAAAAAAGGTTACAAGCATCAGCATTTGAAAAGTAATTATTGTGAAGAGAATACTTTATCCCCAGAGTGTAGGCAGATGGCACTAGTTGTCAACCAGCAGTTGTGCAGGTACATAGTGTAAGTTTGCAGATGCGTAAGAATGATTGAAGTGGCAAGACATTTAGATTTCGCTTAGAGGTGCGAGTTGTGATTTGTTATCCTGAGCAAGAGTTTCAGAACATGTCTGCCTATTCCAGGCCATGTTGTGCTGTGATTATTAGTGACTTGCATTAGTGATGTTGAGTGTTCCAGCCATTAGGTTTATCTCGCTAGTTTACTACAAACCAGAGCTCTCCCTGCACTTTAAAGTATTCTGTGAGCCTTCAGGCTAATCTACCACAACATGAAATTAGTATGTTATGTTATTCTGTTAAGCAAGAACTGCGTAGCTTCTTGTTGTGTGACCCAAGTCGGGTCATTGTTAATTTTATGTTTGAATAAAAGGGTCTTATACACCCTTCTTCTGATTTTTGTTTTGTTTCACAAGGCTAGAAGATTATTCTTCAAGAGTCCTTTCAAAAGTTTATGTTCCAAAGAGACATAGACTTTACAAGGTCTTGTCTTTTTGAGTTTTGTTTACATTTCTAACTGTTCGATTTTTTCCGGTAATTAAAATATTTGTGCAGCCAACTTGGTGCAGCTAGGTATTTTTTTTAAAGAAAAGAATGATGACTATTAATTCCAAAAATTTTTTACTATCTGTATACATATTTTACATTTTAATTAGTTAATTATTTTACCAACAGACAGGTTTTTGTTTCTTTTGTTCTGGTGAAAATTAAGTGGCATTTGTTTTAAGAATAAATTCAAATCAATAGTTTCCCTTAGCATTTTTGAAGCAAAATTATATATTTCTTCAAAAATTTTACTGCATTTTTTTCTATTACAACCAAATCCCACAACTGCATATTTTAAAAGTCGAAAAAAAAAAAAAAAAAAAACTACTTGTTTACAAAAAGCAATGGAATTTGAAGTACAGCAGGCGAAATGCATCCGAAAATAGATATGCTATTCATTAAAAAGTAAAGAATTATCACACACATATTTTCCTGAAGAACTGTCATATACATTGTTGCCAGATTTCTGTGCATTTTGAAAATTTGGTGACTTTCAATGCGGTGGTCATGCAAATAACTAAGGAGCACATTTTCATTAAACTTGGAGTGTTATTGTATAAGCAATAACCAAACATACCCATGTCTTAAGAATTACTTAATCAAGATTTATAGAATATAAAACTATTTTATATTTTTAAACACAGTCATGTAAAAAGAAAATAATGAGAGTATAAGAGAAAAATTTGAATGGAAAAGGGATAAGTGAAAGAAAATATTTTATATTTTAAAGAAATAAAAAACTCTTTCAGAAAAGATATATCAAATCATTTTACGAAAAGAAAAATAATAATAATAATCAACCTGAAAAACCACTCTGAAAGTAGTTCTTATGCTTTTAAATAAAAGAAAAATTAATGTACTTTTTACAAAAACAATCAGCAACAAGATTTTTCCTAAATTTAATTCTCACACTAATTCCTCTTATGCTCAGCATATGCGAAATTAAATAATAATTACTAAAAAAATGTCCTAAAATTGAAATTTCAGATTTATTGCTTTATTTGTTTTTTAGTCCATTTTTCTAATAATGTGTTCTATTATTAATGCCAGAATGATCTTTACAGTTTCTATTTTTAATAGATTTATCCCTGTTCAGTGTCAATATAAACACAGTTGTCTGTGGTGCAAAAAGTAAATGCAACAGCTATGAGATGCATAGCATGTGAAAAGTTGTGGACAAATAAATTTTTTACATATGCTAACCATATAAGTTCAAGAAGTAATTTTAAAAGATTATTATGAAGAGAATTTTGTATCCAAAAGAAGGGATCTAAAAAGAAAAATTTGCAAAAATTCAGGATTTGTATTCATAAGAAAATTAAAGTGTTGATTTGCACACAGAATGCTAGGTGGGTTTAATAATAAAATTAATTTTTCTCTATCATTATATTTCATAAATAAAGTATATTTTCAAATATATATAAGAATAAATTTTCAGCAATTTGCAATCCTGATTTTCTGAAAATCAAAATTTTGCTTGTTTATGTCCAAAAATGAATGTGGATTACTGGCTTTCATGAACTATCCTGTATAATCCTATTGTATAATGGTAGTAGCTGTACACAGTATAAAACAGAAAACATCACTAACAATTTTATACAAGCACACTTCACAACAATTAAAAACAGCATACTTCATAATGATTCAATCATTAACATAATTCTACAGTTTTATTCATTTGGAGCCAAATTTGATAACAATAGGCAAAATCCCACAAAAAACAATGATTGTCCCTTGTATTTGAAATACAGGAACCAATGAGCCAACAAAATCTTAAAAATGAAAACTTACTTCATCAGCTTCTACACTTGTTGAGGAACTAACATTAACAAGGTTTACTAAGAAAAATTCAACTTGAACATGCTTTCCCTGCAGATTATGAGAATAAGACAAGTAATATATTCAAGCAATTTTCAAAGATCTTAAAGTTATGCCTTTTTTACCATGGGAATAATTCTACTTGTTAGCCAGCACAAGAATGAAAGAACTCCCTTATAGGTAATATTATATATCGTTGAACTTGTGAAAACTCCAGTTTTAATTTCTTAGTTTCCCATCTTCCTCGTCAAACCATATTCTTATCAGCTCAGGATTTATCAGCTTGGATTATATAACATAGTATGAGAAGGAAAATGCTTACATATTTCTCCATAATGGACTTCATAAGGCATATGAAATCTAGTTTTTCATTTGATAATGTTTATTAGCTTTATACAACATAAATAAAATTTTCCTGCAGATGATTGTTTTCCTTGGTGATTTCCTTATTTTTATTTAATGTACAGTATTATTACACAAGCTGGTACACCACTTAGCATATTTCTATTAATGAATATTTTGGCATACTTTTATTTCTGAATATTTACCTTATGATGAGGCTGTACATCAAGTAAGAGTGGAGGTATCATGCTTACAGTTTCTTGCCTACTAATATTTCCCTAGGAAAAAATGATGCAGTGTTACACGAATACTTATTATGAAAATATAAGCATTACTTTATTGACATAAAAAGACAAAACTCATTAAAGGAAGTTATAGTAACAACATACTGTTTCTGTTTCCGAAACGAGAAAATTGTGCAACTGCCTAAAACCTTCAGAAGATCGGATTGTAACACGGGACAATTTCATTTGCCATGCTAAATCAGCAGGATACCTAAAACAGAATATAAAGTAAAGCTTTTCAAACAATTTCAGATCTTATTTAAAAATGCAGATTACAGCAAAACAAAAATTAATTACTAAATAAAAACATTCATAATATGTCCTCTAAATAATATGTACTATTTATTAACACTAACTACAGTTAATGAAAAGTTTAGATAAAAGGTAAAACTTGTGTTCCTAAGAAGGTGAAAGTATATCATCAATTTTTAGCATTTTACTAAATGTAAAATGTACACTCTGCACACGAAAAAAGGGAAAGGACAGTTCTTTATCTTCCATTTTACTGGGCCGATTAATGAAATTTAAGTTGCATATTTCACGTCTCAAAAGCACAACTCAGAATGTATATTAGATTTATTTACAGCAATGTTTAAACATATGTATTTTGACATAAAATCGGACTTTTTCTGAAATGACGTAGCTGTCTTTTTCCATATTCTGAGTCTATGACTCAAATTATGCCCAAATATTAAATTTTGTAAAATATGGTGAGAAACTTACCATGAAATTTAAAAATTTATCTCAGCACACTTTTTTCAATTTGTGCCAAAAATAATTAACTTGTTAAAATTCTTAATTTATAACAACCTATTTTCCTTTCCCTTTTTAATTGTGAATGAGTGGGAAAAAGGTGCATCATTCATTGTTTCAAATAATTCTAACAAAGTGCATAAAGCACATTTGGCATTATTATCACTTATAACAAATATGCCAAATTTCAATATGTACCAATATCTATTAAATTAAATTAAAATTTAAACAAATTTAAATTTTAACAAACATGTATATACGTAAAAAAGCAAATTTGAAGTTAAAATAATTTTAAAAAATTGCAAACATATAAAAGATTTAATTTTTGAACTAATCTACAATATCATTTAAGTTCAGATAGCATAAGTAAATCAAGTGCAAAACCAAACCATAAAAATAAATTCATCAATTTAGCAAATTAAAATTAATCTAAAAAAAAAAAAATTTTTTTTAATGCATAAGTGAATGACTGTTGAGCAGGCAGGAGACAAGACTAATCAAGGGGAAGTTGCCTCCAAACCTAACTCTCCAATCTTTCAATTCCTGTTTCATCATTCATGCAGGCAAGGGTAAAAGTCAAAACCAAAAGTAAAGAGTGAAGAATAATGTCCAAAAAGAAATACCAATAGAGTGGTACCTTTAGAAATTAGCAATTAAAAATTTAAGTTCTAAAAGGAAAATACAATAAAGTTCTTTGAGAAATAAGCAATGTAAAGTCAATTATTTTAAAAAAATTAATTTAATGCATTTTAGAAACCTTGAAGAAACCTCCCCGATACGAATAGGCATCAATAAAAAGAAATTAAAAAGGAACTAGACATAATTTATATAAACCAATAAGAAACAAAAAGAACCAATTCATAATTTTTTAAAAAAACAAATGTATACAGTCAAAAGTCGTTAATCCGGACTCGTCGGGACTTCTGCGATTCCGGATTATCGATTTTTCCAGATTATAGATCATCAGTTTAAATCTGGTAAGATGGCATGCAGAAATTATAAAATTAAAAATATGAAACCGTAATTTATGAAATAAAGAACAATTATGATCTAAAGGGTATCAAAATTTACAAAAAGAAAAAGCTTAATATTTATTTGTTTACTTTATTAAACATTTCTTTCAAGTTGTTTAAGTTGCTTCGTTTCATGTGATAATACTTTCTCTTTAATTCTATTAAACAGACATAATTTCTTGTTTAGTTACAAAGTTCCGCTGTTCAAGTCCTATAATTGCTGTGTCGAGAATACCGACTAATTTGTCAATCGAAATTTTTTTCGTTTTCAATAACCTCTGTGTCACTTTCTTCACTATCGGAAGCGAATTATAATGACGAGGAACTTGATTTAAATCATATCAAAGACGGAGTACATCGAGATGAAATACTACATTTAGTAAGGAATTATAAGCCAAAAGCCAAATAAAATAAAAACATCTGCCCTGAAGATAAGGATAGTGCTGACAGATCAACTTCCAATTCATTGCGCGCCGCGCCGTTCCCCCCCCCCCCCGCGCAGAGCAGGGTGAAATTGATAAACATATTTCGGAATGATTAGATAATCAAAGGATATGCCTTTATCCATTTTTTGCAGCAATTCCACTTTCTGTTTAATGGACTTCGAAACATACTTTCGCTTTGTAGATCCTTTACATATTAGTAAATATATATCGGAAATTCTATTTGACATAATCGAAAGTTCAAGCTTACTTTTATAAAATTGCTCTAACAGTCTGCAAAAAATAATAAGCCGGATCCAATTCGAAGATTAAGGAACAACGCAATCTGCAACATTAACTGAATTAGATAATTTTAGCTTAGCTTATACCGTCCATTATACATTAAACGTGCATGTGTAAACGTATTATGCGCATGCGTAAAAGTATTACGCATATGCATGAATGCATTATGCATTGACGCATGCGCAGAAAGTTTGTAGCTTTGAGGTCCGGATTAACGACTTTTGACTGTACTTGAATGATTTACTTCTGATACTGGAATCCTAAAAGTATGTAATTCAAGTTTTAATTTTAACTGATCAACTATTTATGAGTTAAGTAATGTATTTTTTTAGAAATTTTCAACACAAAACTCTAATTTTTTGCAGGTATGCCTAGAAATATGTCTACTTTAAGGTCACGACAAAAATTTTATAGGTTATAATTTTAAAATGTGTTTCAAAAATTTATGCCAAATCAGAAAATAGTCGCAAATAACTTGGATTTAACCTAAATTTCGAATTGTCAAATGAATCAAGTAAGTTTAATAAAAAAAAGAGATGCTAATAAATATATACCAAATCATTTAATGCTGAGAAGCTAAAATTTAAAGCTAATTTTTTAAAAACTAGTCACATAGTTTTTACAAAACTTATCACTTTGGCATAATTTGAGTCGCAGAACTGAAATACAGAAAAAAAAAAAAAAAAAAAAAAAAAAAAAAAAATGGGCATGTTAATTCAGAAAATGTCTCATTTTGTGTCAAAATACCTATGTTACAACAATACCATATATAAATCTAATATATATTTTAAGTCTCGCTTTCGAGTTATGGAAAACGGGAGTTAAATTTCATCAACCAGCCCAGTAAAACAAAAGATATACGAGGGCCATCCAGGAAGTAGATTACGTTTCCGTCTGTGTCCGCTAGGGGCGGGGCTAGCGCGGCCATCTTGGGGTCAGAGCGTTGCGCAGCTCAGTCTGCATCTAGCCGTGCTAGTGAGAGGTTCGTGCTGTGCTCCGTTCAGATACTGTGACGGTTTGAAATGTCTGCGTTAATTGAAAATCCCGCGAGCTGCGAGGTGCGCTCAGTAATAAGGTTTCTGACTGCAAAAAACTGTAAACCGATAGAAATCTATCGGCAGCTTCGTGAAGTGTATGGGGACAACATTATCACTGAAGGTGGAGTGCGTCAGTGGGTCATAAGATTTCAAAATGGCCGAACCAATGTTCACGACGAGGATCGAAGTGGGAGACCCAGCATAGTGACCGCCGAACTTCTCGAAAAAGTCGATGCTAAAGTCCGTGAAAATCGAAATTTCACAATAACGGAACTTTCTTTCTTTGAGTTTTCCACAAATTTCGCGAAGTTTGTTGCACGAAATCATCAGCGAAAAGCTTGGTTACCACAAGTTTTGTGTAAGATGGAAGGCAAGAAGAGGTAACGAAGTGGTTGAAGGCGCAGGCGGCCGAATTTTTCGACAAAGGAATTTCCAAGCTCGTACATCGCTACGATAAATGCCTTAATTTGTATGGTGACTGTGTAGAAAAGTAGTATTTGAGTGTGGCTTTCATCTGTATATAATAAAATTTGTTTCCTATACTTTGTTTATTTTTTTATTCCAAAACGTAATCTACTTTCTGGATAGCCCTCGTAGAAGCATCCCCCCTATTTTAATGCAGGCTGTATAAATGGAAAAATTAAAATATTTTACCAGACTATACAATTTATGATATCTAATAATATGCCAATTATGACATCCACAACTTTTGATCTAAAATTTTAATTCACTTTGTTTTAAATACATTCTACTTAAATAAACATTTTGATTGTGTCTTATAAATGTTAGAACTATTATCTGTCTATTAGAAATGTAACTTACCAAGGCAAACTAAAAGGTTTCCATGAATCAGTCTCATTGCTTTTTATTTTAAGAAGATCTTCAAAATACTTTCCTTTAATAATATTTAGAAGTGCTTTTGCTTGTCTATCAAGAAAAGAGATAATTTTATTTGAATTATATCAAAACGCATCTAAAAAAGATAATACAATAAACATTTTCTTTCCCTTATATGAGTAACATTTTCTCTCTGTAATACAAGAAATAGACTTACTACAAAGTCTACGCTTAAAAACAAGTGGAATTAGATAAGTAAAATGGCACAATTAAAAGAGAAAACAATAACAATAAATTAATAAGTATATAATTCCCACTGAAATTCAATTTTTAGCTTCTCTGATCATCCTTTATTTTCAATCACCAAAAGAAAAATTTTTCCTGAACAAAAGTAATAATTAGTCAAATTGTGCAGAATAACTTTTTACACTTATTTAAAAATATAACACAATACCTAATAACAGCATTAAAATTTACCTTACTTGTTATTGTGAAGCAAATAAAAGAATATATGAAATATTCATTGAAACCAAACAAAAATAGACTGGGTTTTAAAAAAGAAATACCAAGTTCTGGGGGGGGGATGTTCATTCTGCAAAAGAAATTTATAGCAATATATCATTCATAATAAGTATTACTCTTTTTATATTTCAAAATAAAATCTGAGGAGCTTAGGATATTTTACGGTTCTTACATATCTAGTAATCATATTGTAAATACTTTAGCAGAAGTCACAAAATTTTCAGAATGTGCTGAACTATATGCATAAACTTTCTTCAGTCAACCATGCTCATAACAGCCCTTCAATCGAGCAACGTTGCCCTTTTCGAATGCATTCAATATAAGGAAAAGAATATAGAAAATAAGAAATAATAGAAAAGAATATAGTTTTTATAGAAAAATCATGATATTGTTGCCTTAAAAAAAATTTAAAAATATCACTAGTTGAATTCGCAAGTAATGGAAGAAATTGTATTAAAATATCTATGGGAATACAGTTTTTTGCCGCAAAATTGATAGAGTGAACAATGATGAGATGTGTTTGGAAGATAACTGGTGTGCAATGCCAAGTTTGTGTAATTTTCAGATTTTTTTAAAGCAAAGATATATCACTGTGTGCATAGGAACAAGAACAGCACTAAAAAATTAGAGGAGCATTTCACAAAAAAAAAAAAAAAAAAAAAAAAAAAAAAAAATATATATTAAATTAAAAAAAATAAGAGTGTTTTCTTTTAATCGGTTGATAATGTTAGCCAACTTATGATAAATATTGATAGCTTGGGAACATTTTAAAAAAAGTTGCAAAAATTTACATTTTGTGCCTGATAAGTAATTTTTATCCTTTCATCAGTAAAAAATTGCCAAACTGCATTAACATAGCTGTATTTATACATAAGTACCTATTTTACAATGGATTGAAAGATATGAATGATTAATGTATTTATTATAATGCTCCACTAGGCTATTTAATGACTTCTTTAGCTATATTTTTAAAGGAAAATTATGTTTCTAAAAAAACGGGGAACAGTTATTTGTTTAAGAACTCACTAATGGATAGAGAAGAGAAGAGACCTATGTATTGATTAAACTGTGTTAGATAAGAGGTGGATAAAATCCTTTGTGTAGGAAAAATCAAGATTATTACAACTCTTCATTTTAATGGAGATAAGTTTTATTTATTATAAGCTATTTAAAAATTAACCTTTTTTAATTATTATTTTAGAAGATAAGTCTGTATTTCTTAACTTTATGGAAAATGTTAAGTGCTTTTTTATTACCCACATCCCAGCAAGAAGTTATGAACTCACTGATGACTTTAAAGAGAAATCTTTCTTTGAGTATCTTTACTACTATTTCAACAATATATCCAGTGTATCCAGTGTTACTACTTTTCTTATTTCTTCTTTTACCATACAAGGTACCTACACTTGTTGATTTTTCGCACATTTGCTTTCGTAAAAAAAAAGGGGGGGAAATCGGACAAATTTAGCACGAAAATTCAAAAATGAGAAAGAAAAGCGAAGTGCATGATGTCTTTTGAACGAGCTATATTACACTCTAGTCATGCAAAAAGTTAAATCTGAGATTTCACCAAAGAGGATAAAACCTGAAGTATGAGGTCCACTGCTAACCTAAAATGCAGAAATTTCCATAAAAGAAATCATAATTGCTACAAAATCACAACTACCGTAATTTCCGGAAGAAACGCCGCGGCGTTTACGAGTTTAAAACTTAAATTTTCAGCGGGTGCGGCGTTTAGGTGCACTAAAAATAAAATATTTCCTATGATGGTCATTGTACATAGTTTGGATGGCCTTGTCATTGTGCATAGACTGGTGCTGTTTCCACACAAAAGACCACTCAGTTGCTTTTTGCGAACGTTATTTTGTTTACATTCTTTCCCTTGAACAGACCTACGTGCCTTATTCACCCTAAACGAGATCTCAGAACAATAACATTCTTCCTCCTTTCAAATCAACATTTTCATCAGTTTGAATAGTCTCTCTCCTCTGCCATTCGATGAATCTTCCAGGACCCATCCTCTCCCCACCCCTGCCTTTTCTGCAATTTTTTTCAAAGGCGGACACGACTCCACCTGCCTTGCAGTAACGAACTCTAACGTATTTCCCTTTCAGCATGAATCGATTTTTCTTGGCATTCTGCCAGATACAGATCCCATCAGTTTGGGTACAAGTACTTGTTGGATAGTTTTTTAGTAAGAAGGGAGCGGAAAATTTTTGAAAATGACACCTAAACGGCACAGAAGTTATACTGCTAGTTTTAAGGTTAATGTAATTTTACGTGCTGAACAAATTGGAAATCGAGCAGCAGCTCAAGAGTTTGAAGTGGACGAGAGATGTATTCGACGTTGGAGAACTGAAAAAGAACTTCTTAAAAATGTGCCACAACAGAAACGGAGCCAAAAGAAGTGGTACTGTAAGGTGGCCGAATCTAGAGGATGACCTTGTGAACTGGATAAAGGAGCAACGAGGAAAGAGAATGGCAAAATTTCGACTGTAAAAATTCGCTTACAAGCCAAAATTTATAGCAAAAAAAACGAACATAAATGATTTCAAAGGAGGGCCTTGGTGGTGTAGCAGATTTATGAAAAGAAAAAATATTTCTCTGCGTACTAGAACAACCGTCGGGCAACAATTACCAATGGACTGGCAGGATAAAAAGTCATCTTTTCTAAAATATGTGACAGCTATTATTGACACACACACACAAAAAAAAAAAAAAAAAAAAAAAAAAAAAATTCTTCGGTCACAAATAATAAATATGGATGAAACGGCGTTAGCTTTCGACTCTCCTGCAAACAGAACTGTTGATAAAACTGGTGCAAAAGCTGTATCTGTGCTTATGACGGGGCATGAAAGAACATCATTTACATGTGTGTTAGCTTGTGCCGTAAACGGTAACAAGCTAATGCAATTTATCATATTTAAACGAAAGACTATTCCGAAGGGAGATTTTCCTAATGACGTAATTATTTGTGCAAACGAGAACGGCTGGATGTGCGAAACAATCATGCATGAGTGGCTACAAAAAGTTTGGCAGTGTCGTATAGGATCTTTTTTCCAACCAAAAGGGTTATTGATAATGGATTCCATGCGTGCTCATTTGCTTAAGTCAGTGAAAACCAGATGTCAAAAATTGTCTACGACCGAAGCAATAATTCCTGGTGGTTTGACAAAAATCTTACAACCGTTAGATTTGTCAGGTAATAAATCCTTCAAAGCTGAAATTCGAAAGCGGTGGGAGTGTTGGATGAGTGAAGGATTGCATACGTATACCAAAAGCGGTAAAATGCATAGAGCATCTTATAAAAAAGTTGCAAAGTGGGTAGGAAGTGCGTGGAAATCGGTAAAAAAACATCGTCAATAATAGCAGGGTTCAAAGAAGCTGAAATTATATCCTTAGATAAAGAGACTGTAAACCAAGAGGATGAATGATCTGCAAGACTTGGACTTAGATCAGGATTTACTAAATCTTTTTAATTTAGATAGTGAAGAATCAGGTTTTGATAGCTTCATATGATGTATAGTTTGCTGTAATTCCTTTTGAAGTAAAATTTAAAATTTCCTTTTGTCATCCAAATTTAATATTTTGTTGTTGCAGCATTTTTTATAATATAGTCTGAGTATTACAAATATGGACTTCTTTAGTGGGTAACTATAAGTATATACCTTTCCACATTTCTTACCTTTAATTTATTTTTGAGTTATGGTTTCATTTCATGCATTTTTCTTAACTGGTATGTCATATATGAAGACTTAATTTGAGATTTTGCATCTATACGGCCCACGACGATGTCACGTGCAATTTAATTTATTGCGGCGTTTACACTGATGTGGCCTTTATTCCGGAAAATTATGGTGGATAGAGAGCATTCACACAAACAGCGTAGATGTTTTCTATGTCTAGAATCAAGTAGCAAAATAAATCAAATTATGTAATCAGAGCAAAGAATTGTTGCAATGTATATATATATTTGTGAATATGCAAAGTCTTGTGTGCAGCTACTAGTGGATCACATTCTGATAAAGACCTACTTGGCAGCCTGATTAGAACATAAGTACATAGTAAAATTTGATTTAATATGTTAATACTTCATTCTCTATTACATAATTTATGACAGGACACCAGGTAGCTTTGATTCAAAATTTATTTGATCTGTGACATAAAGAATTTTGAATTTTATTTCAAGAAATACAGAGTATTACTGTTCAAAACTAAATAAGTGATTCTGTAATGAATATATGTTGATGTATGAATTACTTATTAAGAATTTGCTTTACAAGCACTAAAAATACTAATTTTGATTTCTATTATGGAAGAACATAAGTGCTTTAGAAGTTGTCTAAAAATTTTACAAAGAGTGTGAAGTATTCAGATGAACTCTTAAAGGCCAATACATTAGATTTAGATAAGATTACAGGTCCTTTTGCTCAATGATAAACGGCAAAAAATACATGCTTTGAATAAGCAGGTACTAGAGTTATTGCATAATAAAGGCGTCAAATGTTCTAATGATGAATTTGAAAAAGAAAATCAAAACCATTGAGGTCAAGTTAAAGGAAATTGGGTTGTAGCCACATTACACATTTTCCCTGAAAACCAACCATGCAGCAAGCCCATTCACCAGAATTCGAACCCTGGTCAAACTACCAGCATTCAGTGACTTTAATGCTTGGATTGGATGTTGGTACACTTCAAAACCACCGAATCATACAGTGATACATTTATATACTTCAAAACAAAAGTCTAATGAAAGGGATAGCATTTTAGCAAAGATGAAAATGAAGCAGTTAAAAAGAAATTTAAACTTTCTAAACTGAATTAAGAAAATTTAAAGGTGAAGAAAAAGAATGGTTGAGATTTTGGAGGCAATTTAGAAAAATTCATGATTTTAAAGATATATCTGGGAGAGACAATCTTTTAGTAGAAATCTCTTAAAGAAACTCCTCTGTTTAGTAATGAAAAAGAGTAGCAATTATTTGAATAAAATTTCTGTGTTCAAACTGTATGATGAAATAGAAACACATTTATGTGTGTTAGAAAGTTTAAAAGTTGCAACTGAGAAATAAGCTGCTATGCTGCATCTACTTGTTGAGGCCTCTTTACTAAATTATATTTTGAGAATATGGGAAAGAAATGTAGCCTCTGCTGACAAAGGCATTTCAAAAAATAAATTTAAACTATTAAAGACATTTCTGAAGAGAGAAGTTGAAGAGAAAATAACAATAGTCAGACAAGAACTTAAATACAAGAAGCTGATCAGAAAGCAAAACATAAAACAGGCGGGGCAGAATGAAATTCTGACTGCTGCAGGCTTTTAAACAACAGCTCGACAAAAACAAAACCTACAAAAAAGGGAAACTGTACTTTTTGCGATGAGAATCATGATTTCGTAGAATGTAAATCTATAAAAATTATGTCATTAGATCAAAGAAAACCTGTTTTGTTAAAGAAAGGGATATGTTTTACGTGTTTAACTCCAGGTCATTTATATAATAATTGCAAAAAATTTGTTAAAAGTGTGAAGTTTTAACAAACATTATTTGCTTATGTGTCCTAATGTGAGTGAGTGCAGGGAAATTGAAAAGGATAAACACGACCAGAAGGCTGAAATTGAAGGACATTCTCTGAGGAATTAAACAAGTATGCCAGTAGTACTGATGTAAATTTTGAAGGTTTGAATTCACAGGAATGACATCTCGATTTATTAGAGCCCTCATCGATACTGGGTTTCAAATACCATATTATGGAAAATGGCTTCAGATATGGGATTTTAACCAATGATTGAAGAAAAAGATGAAGCATATGTCTTTTTGGAAGTAGGGAATTAATTCAGGAGCATAAAAAAACTACTGGATAATAATATGCAATATAAAAGGAACTTATGTATATGATTTTGAGGTTAATGACCAAAACGAAATATGTACTGCAGGATGAAGTGTGACAAAACGAATATGGATGAAAAACTTCGGCAACAAAGACTATGGTTGTGTGATTATAATAATGATCAAGATCCTCTAATGCACTCCACATCTTAACAGGGCAGATATTGCTGGGAAACTGATGACTGGCACAGTGAGGAAATTGAAATACAGATTAACTATGACTGAAACTTAGTTAGGATGGACTGTAATCGGAAAATTACCAAATGTACATGTATACACATGAAAATACTCTTTTGATTTTACCCTCGTTCATTAATGAAAGTGCAAATTTTTGGAAGCTAGAAGCTATTGGTATCACTGATTCTCAAAAAATGCCTTCTGAAATAGGACTTACAGGTGACTACATTACATACATTTCATGAAACTATAAAATGAGATGAAGATGGTAGATATACAGCATCACAGTCTTGGTTAGAAACATATCTGCCAATTTTTAGCTGTTGAGAACTTGCTGAAGAAAGACTTTTGACAACTGTTCATAAACTTGTTGTTAATGGGCACTTGAATGATTATCAAGAAATTTTTAAGGACTGGATTTTACAAGATGTTGCAGAAAATGTTACCTTGCAAAATGAAGTTGGCATATATTTACCACACCTCCCATAATAAAGGATTCTTCCACTACTAAAATTAGATCAGTGTTGAATCAAGAGAGTTGGCAACTCTGTTATGTATTTTCCAAAATCTTGCACATGAAGTAATTATTAGCACATAAAAAGAATCAGCATCCCAAGTTTTCATTTTATACATAAAGTGGCCAAACAGAATTTGCCGTCCTGACAAACCAAATGGTGCACTGCTAGTACAAAATGGCATTATAGAATTTTTTTCCTTTGAATATGTGAGATGTTTATTTGTTACTATGAAAATCAGCAGAAACTTTCAATGGATGTCCAGTAGAACTCCTATTAAAAATCCATCTGTTACACCATATCACATTTAAATTCTACCACCAATGTTAAACTGTATAACTACAGTTACTACTGCTAAATCACTGCCACAATTTCTGCTACTGCTGCTAAATACTGTATTACTATTATTTCGGCTAAAGTGCAGAATCACCCACTTATTTGTTTGGCGCTTTTTTACAAGAGTAAGAAAATTGGATTTTTGTCAATATTCTTTGACTTTTTAAGTGAAAATAGCTCGATGTGTACGTCAATAAAGTCAAGAGAGTGCACAATGCCATTTTTGTGCAATTTGGGGAATTTTTTTTAAGTGAAAATAGGTTGATGTGTACATAGATATCGAGTATGTGCAATTCTTAAAAACTATGTTACATTATTTCTATATATTACCATTATTTCTATATATTACATTATAGCTGTGAAACTGTTGCTGCTAATATGTCGTAAAATGGTCCAAACTTCATATGTTAAACTATCGCCAGTAAAATTGTAAATGTTCATATTCCTGAAGCATGTATCAGGAGCTACGCATATATTAATGTAACTTCTCTGAAATTTAATTAATTCTCAATGTAGAATGTTTGAAAGTCCCTATGGATATAGCTAGTGTTCCAGGATTACATTAGACTTGTCTATGATGCTGTGCTTGCGCCCTACACACTTGTTGCTGTCCTGCCCAATTAATCCAATGGAACATGTGTTCAGAACAGAATACTGAAAAGAGTCATCAGATCAATTAAGTCTTCCGTGAGTGGGAGCATTAGTTTAACACGTTGACTGCCGCACAAATTTTACGTGGTTTGCCCATGACGCCAACTTGAAATTTTTATTATGCGATGCATATTATGTTGAAATATTATCTGCAGAAGATAATGTGAGTTATATAATCGTGCTTAATGCATTTTTCGTGGTGGGGGTCACCCGGTGACCCCCAAGGGACTGTAGATTATTATTGCAATTTATAATTTAAATTTTTAAGATTTATTATTCTTCAAACAATTATAGTCACAATGGTACTATTTAAAAATTTATCAGTATTGATATTTACTGTAATTATGTATTTTACTATTGGTAGTGTCGCTGGTCACCAGTGGCACCCACAGCGTTGTAGCCGAGTGCCTGTCACGGCAGTCAACGTATTAAAGACACATAGAAAAGGATGGAGTGATCAAATAAGCATGATGGTAGCCAGAATGAGGCAAATCTTTATACATAATACACAAAAATCAACAATCACTCAAGGTGTAAGATCTGACTTTCTTAGCTATCATAAAGTAACCTGATCTTACTAGGAAACCTGGCGACTTCTCGCAAAAGCGTGAACAATACCAGCACAGAAGAAGGGTAAAATAAACCCCTTTATTATTTGTCAAACTCTTAACACAAATGCATATATGTTGTGCTTATAATAACACTGATGACTTGCGGCAGAATTTAAGAATAATTTCACAATTAATTCAAAGGTAAAGACTAGTGTTGGACTAACAATTTAATTTAGGGCTAACTAGGCTGACCCAACAACTCACCCAGTGATTCAACTTCTTAAATGGCAAAAAGGCATATCAGCAACTCAGCATAACAAAAAGGACAAAATATTTATGTGCGCTGGATAGCGAAATCATGCTCTGAATAAACTTCTAGATTCAACTGTATTTATATTCTCTTCATTTGACTTTTAACTTTGCATCCTCATGAGGAAATCTGAGGGGAATGGTACTAAACTTAAAATAAATTATTATGCAAACTAAGGGAAACCCTACAAAGGCACACATTTAAAATTCAAATAAAAATGACCCAGCTTTTTTCATACAACTCCCCACACCCTTACACTGGCATCATGTAATTTCTTCCTTTGGGAGTAAATTAAAAGGATTGTATTTATATTCTCCACAGCCAACAACAATCGGAAGCTCAGGGAACACTTCAATGCTGCTATGATAACGAACCAAAAAAAGTATGAATTCACAGAACATTCAAAGCCTGTGAGGAAAGCTGTTTAAATTTCTGATTTTTTCAAATGTCAGTTACTGCTACATAAGCAATACTTTTGAAAATACAATGTTTCATAATCTGATGAACCATTTATAATAGTATATTGTATATTCAAAGGTCAAATTATAAGTAATTTTTTTTCAAAATAACATATTAAAATGTGTTAAAATGAACAATATTATTTACATTATTTAATTTAACAGTATCTTTAAATCAAGTAACACAGGAAATATATTTTTTGTATACATATGTAATACTTTTCATCTAAAAAGTAATAGAAAGAGTTTATAGGTACATTTTTAACAAAAATCACACAGGCAAAGGGTAATAATAACTAAATTTACATTTTCACATTTACCATTTATATTTTAAAACATACCCTCTGTAACCAGTTATTCGAAAAGTTGCAGGAAGACTTTCCCTCAAAACTTTCATGAAATTTTCCCATTCTTCAGGTGGTACAATTCCTTGGGTCTAAAACATTTTTTTAATTTAAAAAAAAATTAATATTCTTTTACAGTAATTTACAAAAGGAATATATATATATATGTAAGAAAAATAAAGAATATGTAAACGAATAAATTAGCAAAGAAAATTAATTCCCTTCTGTATTCTAAAAATAATAACCTCTATTTGCATTGCATCATTTCGAGAAAAATCTATGTGATATGACTCCTACATAATTCTGATGATGTAAATGAAACTAAAACTTTAAAACAGCCAATAGTAATTTTACAGCAATATTAACCATCCAATCAAAATGCATTGAGAACCAAAACTAACTCAGTAGGAATTAAGATTTCACTCTGAACATAACGCACTTGCTTTCAATGTTTTGGCTTAGCTGCACTGCTGTCTGTATGCTGCTGCTGCTTTCTTACTACAAAGTTATTAAAAATGTAAAATTTTTCAAATACAATAAATATGCCAACTTGTTTGTGGACACAACATGTTTACTGAAATACAGGTAAAATTAAATACACTTTGACTGTCAAATTTCTTATTCCTTGTGGATCGGCATTTCAGCCTTCTACTGCATCAAAATTCTAGCTGTTCATTGTGAATACAACCACCTGCGTACTACTACAGACTCTATTACATATACATATTTTTTTTTAAATTTAAGAATCAGTACACATTTAACTTATACAAATATAATTGGTTGTGCTTCTGAATCTACAATGTAAGCAACATAGAAATTAAACTGAAAGATGCAAAATAGAAATTAAACTGAAAGATGTTTCTTAAATGAATGAACACTATATGCCTTTTGGCCAAATCTGATTAGTACTGAAAAAATTGTTCATAATTTTTTATTTTCAAAATCAAATCTTCAGAGAGAAAAAATAGAAGAGAAAAAGTTTTAATGTTTAAGTTACTTTTTTGGGAGAAGGTGGGAAGGGGGGGTGAGCGTGTGTGTATCATTCGTTTACTTTATACTGATTTTTGAAACAAAAATTAGAAAAAACTTCATTATTTATACAAGAAAAATGTAAGTTTGCCATGCTCTTAAATCTATATTATAAGCAACAATAAATATGAAAAACCCCACATAAAAAAAGTCCTACAATTCAAGATAATATACTTTGAAAGAGCAGTTTAAAGCATTCTTTTGTTTGGATTGATAATATTCCCAAATATATATACATATATATAAATATAAGGCTCAGATGCACTTGCACTTTTAAAGTTAAAAAAAAAAGCTGTGAAGATTTGAAGAAATGACTTTATATCATTTCCTTCAAATCTTTATAGCAGTTTTAAATGTATAATATGACAGAAAAAAATTCATTTGTAATATATAAAATGACAGAAAAACAATAAAATATCTAATAAAATAATATTTTATACTATATATAAAGTGATAGAATAAAGTATTATATACAAAGCAGAAAGAATAAAATATTTTTAAAGTAACAGAAGATATCACTTGCATATCAACAGCTATGTGAATATAAAAAATTAAAACCATTTAAGAAAAAAATGTATCAAGCACCATGACATTTTTTTTTCTCATTATTTCCTGCTCAGTAATCTAATATTGACCTTCTTCTAATTACCAAAACCTCTCTCAGAAAATTCTAGTTTCTCAATTTTAAGAACTCTACTTTCATAACACTGCAAGGGAAGCAAAGCGGACAGTCCTGATTTCAAAAGCAGCAGAGCTAACTTATCTCTTATTTCATATTTGTTAGCTTGTGAGTCTTAATAAAATAAGACCTTGAACAAAACCTCATTTTATTTCCTTTCTGGAAGAGTACCTTAGTTAACATGTACACACATGCTTGGGCCAAAGTTTGCTACTATTCTTATACATTTAAAAAAATTTCTTATATTTCATTCAAATAATTTGTTACTAAGAAAATGAAAAGCCAAAAACTAAATTGTATAAATTATTCTTTCAATGAGACTGCACAGGTGCTTAGTTTTACTTTATAATAAATTTTGCATTTAGGAATCTATGGTTCAGTTAGTTTTTAATCCTTCTAATAAATCTGACTAGAAACATAAATTTTGAAAATGAGATTCACTTTCTTCTTGAATTTTCAAATTTTTGCTTAAATGATGCCAATTATTGAAACCAACTTGGTTATTTAATTTAGTATTTAAGAAGTCGATGGATTATTGATGTCACTGAATATTTCACAACAGAAACATAAAACTACATTTTCTTAAAAGTATAGTAGCCAATCTCGCTGAACATTTCAATATTTGACAAAATTTTCAAGATGTTTCTTAAATGAAAAGTGAAATATATATCAGAAAACTTACATCCACTTTTGTCTGTGATAAATAATTTTATTTTGATAATACATAGGACCTTTTTCAACTAGTTCTTGCTCCTAGTTTGGATGTAATATGCTTAGCCAAAGACCTGGATTATTACATAGAGGTGAATACGAATCTCTATGTAATATGCTTGCATATTCAAACATGACGGTACCACGTGAAATGTATCAAAATGGAAAAACTGTTATCACTGTCATCAATAGAAGTATTCTCTTGAAAATGTGCGAGCTTCTGGAAAAAGTTGGTATCTTTTTAAATTGCTCTTTTCAAAGTCTTCCTCACATTTTGTTTTATTAAGCAAGTTTCAATAACTAGACAATTTTTTTTTTTTTTTTTTTTTTTTCCTTCTCTGGCCATGTAAATAAAATCACTGAGTACTGCAAAAATAGTTCATAAATTTTTATGAAACACAAAGTTTTATTTGTTTTATATAAAAAAATTACTGAACAAAGTTTTAAATTTTGTAATTACTGTATTGCTAAATTTCATTAAGTATTTAAAGACATTAGGGAAACTGGATGCATAGGTAAAACTGTATAAGCTTCTTAAAGTTGAATAAAGCATTATTATAATTATTACTATTGTATAAAACTGAAGTAATTTAATCACTTACCTTATTTTTAATTATTTTTTATAATCATTATATTAACAAATTAGGACTTATGAATAAACATACAGTAGTACCTCCTAATCAGGGACAGCCGTCGGGGCAGATATTTTGTCCTTTAAATAAAGGTGTCCCTTCTTCAAAGGGTACATACTAAAAATATGTAATTTAATTAAAAATTTAATTTGTATCAAGCTCTAAGTAAATAAATTATATATAAATAAGTAGCATAATCAAAGGTATTCTACAGTTGAAATAAGATATTTTATCTCATCATTGGTGTCTTCAGTCTATAAGTGTTCATTGATTTCTAAATACTCTTGCATTTGAGTGCTGCCACTGATTTTGACAAGTTCAAACAATTCATTTTCATCAATATTATTTCACTGAGAGCACTTGAAATTTGAATTTCAAAGCCTTATTTCTTAGAACAGTGCTGAACACAACTTTGTGATATGGATTTTATAGCTTTTGTTATCAACTGAATAGCATTCAATACATTGACATGTTTTGCAAGATGATAGCTGTTTCCAAGAGCAGCTTCACAAAGAACATGCCTGTAAAAACAGTTTTATGTAATGAACCTTGAAGCTTCTAATTATACCTTCATCCAAAGGTGGTAATACTCATGTTGGATTAGGTCGAAAAAGTGCTAATTTCACTAATTTCAATTTTGCATTTGGTGGGTGGATCATTTTTTGACAACTTGTCGAGAAATAGTAGAATATTCTTATTCTTTTTAAACATTGCTTTATCAAGAACAATCAACCATTCTAACAACGTGCTTTGCATCATTCATGATTTTTTTAATGTGATGCTAATGGACTTATTTTGGATTGATGTGTTTGAAGCATCTTGGTTTTTTGACTTTTCCAATTACAGATGGTTGCTCAAACTCTCCTTCAGTGTTACAAGAAAGTAACACAGTGAGACATTCCTTGGAGCTCGTACCATCAGAGCATATTTCCCCACTGAAGCATAGTTTTATTCAGCAAATTCGATAAAATAATATAGTTTCATTTGCAATGTAGATGTTTCAAGCCTCATATCTTTCACAAATTTCATTTAGCCTTTTTATCCAGTCTGTTACATGTTGATCATCAACTGATTTTTCTTCACCACAGATAGTCTTGTCAGGTTACGGTTTTGCTTAAATTGTCTAGCCAACCATTTGATGCTGTGAAGTTTTGAAGTCCCAGACGTTCCACAACTTTTTTTTGCCTTTTCTTGCAATAATACTCTACTTACAGGAATACTGTGCACTCTTACAGGACAAAACCAGTTGAACACTAATGTGTCAATTTCACATGCTTCAGTTTTTCTAAATTTTAGTATTCGAACGTTCATCTGAATTAGTAGTCCATAATAATTGTATTTCTTCTCTATCCTTTAGCACAAGACTTTCTTAGTTTTCACTTATTCCAAATAACTGCCCTAAATCTCTCAAACTAAGCTTTTCAATTTCTGCTACGTTAACTTTTTGTTTTAATGTTAATACTAATCTTTTCATCTTTCAAGCCATGATAAGTAACATATGTAAAAATAGCACACAATTACAAAACTGCAATTCTTTGGACTCCAGTTCAAGCAAGAATTAAGAATGATAGAGGTTTCTGCTCTACCACATTCTGAGATTCCTGTTCCTTGGGAAGTAGTCTAGCCATCTCACTACATTTTCTTTCCCATTGGTCTTATCTTGGGTTGCCTTACAACTGCTGACACTGTTTTCTTCCCCCTACTGTAGCAGGAATAACTGGATTTTGAATTCTATGAATGTGAAATATCCTTTTAATTGCCCTATAACTTGCTTTTTCTCAATGCATTGTTCACCTTTTCCTAACTGAAAAACAGTTTTCAGAAGAGAGGAATAACCTTTTCATTCTATTGTTCCCTTGTCACAAATCTTTCACTGAGCACAAATTTGCCTTTAAAACCTCAAAAGATTACTAACAAAAAGTAATCCTATTTTTATTTATTTATTTCTCCACTTCTATCATTTTTCAAACAGATTTTCAGTGTCCCTTAAATACAATTCCTCTTAATAAGAGGTAAACACATTAAGATCCCTATTGAAAGGGACTGGGACCAACATAATTGTCCCTTAAATAGAGATGTCCCTTACAGAAGGTACTATTGTATTTGGTATGCTCATACAGCTCACATGCTCATGACAAAAATGAAAAATTAATAAACTGCACAGACCATGAAAGCATTTAAATAAACTTAAAAGTGGAAAAGCTTAAACCTGAAAACTTCTGACTAGATGGCAAACAGTGCACTCACCTACAGCCCCTACACGAAAGGAAGTAGTAAAATTTCACCACTGGTCAATACTGGTACGTAATAAAATTATTGTAGGCGCCTTTAAGGCCTTGGCACCGTACAACGTTGCCCATATGGACAGCATGTCCCTCATTTTTGGCCTGCATGAATACAAAAACAAAATTATTTTCTTGTTTAACTATAGTAACAGCCCAACTATCCAGTATTTAACAAAATGGGAAGCTCATGTAACTGGAATAATTTAGAAACCTTTCTAACCCTCAGACAACTGAGTAAAGAGATTTTGCCATCAAACAGTGTGATTTAGCACAGAAATGGATAAATATGACAATACAACAAAATCATAAGATCTTGGCTTGTTTTAGATAAACCTGATTGATTCTTGATAATCTGGTTTAGTTTTTGTAAAAAAGGATATAAGTGAACTGTTATTTTCCCTCACATTTTGAAAAAATAATGAAAATTTAGGATTTGCCTTCTATGTAACATTATACAATGCAGTATTATCCAAAGTTACTGAAATCAGAAAAGTAAGCATTAATCAGCACAATTTGCAACTTTAGTTAAAAACAAATAAATAATGGTGACGCAAAATGAAAACTTATGATAAGCCATTTAGGTTTTTCTTATGCTACATCTATAATTTGTATCTGTTCATTACCTAACTAAAGAAAGAAAAATCTGTTCCTTTAAATGTTTGCCAGAATGAACTGGCGCAGTTTCGATGCCATCTCACCAACTTTCATAGTTGGCAAAATTTTATTATAATCAGATAAGATGCTTTACTTTCAATGTTTAAGTTCTATGAAATACATTGACTCATACATTTGCTTTTGGAAATCTTAAATAATTTTAATGTACACTTTTGATAATCGTGTTGATAAGAAATAAAGTGACTGTTTTTATAATTTTAAATAGGAATTTTTCATCTGGTTTTTGTAACTGCGAATTGCATTTTTCATATACTCTTGCTATTCAAAATTTTCACATATCCAGCATTTTCCAAACTTTCCAGACAACCGAGTTTTCACTGTACTTTCGTTTCTTTTTCAATCCAAATACAGCAATCTTAATTGCTACAGAAAGAAAATTCAGTTTAAAAGTTCAAAAAGAATGCATTTCCAAGCATAGCAATATAGTGCCAGTACAATAGTTAAGAAAATAAATATAAGAAAAAAATCACTTCATGCCAATATTTTTTCCCTACTTTGATAATATTGATATGTGGAATTCTTTTAGTATCTTCTAATGTATATATTTTTAAGTATATAAACCAGATGCTAGCTAAATATAGTGTTTGTATATATAATAATATAGTAAATCAACGCAAAGAAAAAAAATTGAAAATAGAGCAATATGAGCCAGCAAATGGTGGCAACATACAGAGTAAACATGCTAATAAATCGATCACCTCTAAAAGAATTAATGAGATACTATTCACTTTTTAGAGGAATTTATTTTTATTTCCTATTAAATAAAACATCCATTTCTATTACTCCTTTTAAAAATATCATTTTATGACAAATTTTGTTATGTCTGTGTCCAAGAGAATACTTCTGAAAATAAAAACAGATTATTTTGCTAAAGACTATGAGCGGCTGTTGACCTTGAACAATGCTCAGATCACCTAAATTTACGAGTGTTAGAGAGAAAACTTAAACAGGATGTTAAGGTATTTAATTTTTAAATTTAATAGTTAAAAATACTTTGTTTCTTTGTGTACCACCAGTTGAGAATCTCTGCTTTAATGCAGCTTTATTTGAAAATACATACACCAGTGGCTCTAAACTATATTTACCATATACACCCCTTTCACGAATGTCAGGCACTTATCGTCTCCTTTCTTATTTCGGAAACCAAAACTCTGAAAGCTTTCACATTTTACATTACGTCCAAAGAGTTTTTTTTTTTTTTTTTTGACTAAACGTTTTGTTTTTAACGTTTTGTGTGTTATCTTTATTTACTAAATATCATATTCTTCGAACTTAAACCATAAAATTCAATTCAACAGAAATATCACAAAATAATTTTAAAATGAGCATATCTTTAGAATTTCCGATACAGTTTTGCCCGTTGGAAATAAAAATGTTTTTTTTTTTTTTTTTTCTTTTTTTTTCTTCTGTACAGTGTTGCCATTTCTCACCTTGAAATCACTGAGTTTGTTCATTAAAAACTCATTAAAGTTTTACAAAATATGAAATAGATAATAAAACAAATTCCAAATTTGGGCTTCCAGATGCCCATATTTGAGTGCAAACGTACATTATTCAAAATTTGATGGCTCTAGGTACAGTTGTTTTATTACAATGGGAGAAACATACATATATTCATGCAGATTCTTCATTATTTAATTTTTTTATATATAATATAGGGCTCTAATATTTGGTGGCAACAATTTGAAAAGTGAACTGAACATTTATAGTGAACCAATGCAAAATGCCAAAATCATATTAATAGCCCTTATGGGCAAATGCCTTTTGGGCTAAAAAAATTCATATACATATTTATTAAAATTTAGATTATTTTTAATGTTTTAAAAATGAAATTAAAAAGTATAAAAAATGTTGATAAATATTAAAACACAAATAAAAATAATTTTTGACATTCATAAACTAAAATTAAATATTTAATAGGTAACTAAAAGACTGACTGCATTTACCCCTTACACTATGAAATTCTCCCCTGGGCTGTTCTCCTTATTGATGACCCCTGAGATACTCAATGGCAATGCAACATAAAAAATTATGATAAGCAATTTAATTTCTTTTAGGGGGGGAAAGGGTTCTGTATAATGCATAAATTGTATATCTTGATCCTTTACCTAAGTAAAGAGCCTAAGTAAAGAGCTTTTCAAACGTCTGCCAGAATGATTGGTGCAAGTTTGGTGAGATTTCTACCAGCTTTCCTGATCAACAGGATTTCATAATCAGATACGATGTTTTACTTTCTAATGTTGAATGTCAGATTTTCTTTTATTTGATGCATGTATCACTAATGCAAGTTTACAACTTGAAAAATACAGTCACATAAAATCTTATTCTGAATAATAAGATGGATAGTTATCAAACATGTTTTGATCTTGAGGATTGAAAGTTCTTGTTTACTTATATTTTCCACAGCTTTTCATCATAATGACTTTATGGATGTTCACACAATACAAACCATGATACGAGATGATAACAACATACAGTATAAAATTGGTAAGAAATTTTAAATAAACTTAGAATAGTTCTGTCTCAAAACTCACCATATAATACTTTTCAAAATTCACATTCTCTTTTATAATATCTTTATAAGCTTGAGCAGGTTCTCTTTCCTGAAATGCATATTACAAATATTTTGTTATTCAGCATATGAATTGTAACATTATATCAAACATGAAATTTGTCACTAAAATTTCTTAAATTACAGTCAGATAAGTGTATAAATTTATAATCTGTTAATGTTACTAGAACGCAAGTTTTGAAATAATGAATGAAATTTATTAGTTGTAAATATCATATTTGTTACATTTTGCATCATCTAACCAAGCTATGGTCAGTTTAAGTTAAATAATTGGGACTCTAGTGTAGATGTTTTTAAATCAGAAATGCAAAACAATGACAAATACAAAAATCCAAATCAGTGTGATACCAGACATTGCAAAATCACCTGCTAGTTTGTTATATAATTGGGAGCATAAGAATTACATGATCTTAAACAGTTTCCTAAATTAGAATCTGTGAGCTTTGATCAATATTTTGTTTTCAGTAACATCATATTTGAAAACAATCCTTCACAATTATATATATTTGTAAATTTTAAGGTCCATCAATGAAAAGAAAATTAAAAGACCTGTTAACAAATGGGAATTGAATAAATTAAAGCAATTACTGTACATTTTGGCATATAATGTGAACTTTCAATACAAAAAATAAGATCAAAATTTACGGGTGCATATTATATGCTGTGTATAAAAATGATAAATTTAAAAGTAAGAACTGAGCATAAAAAAAATAGACTTCTATATGTATTTAAATGCTGTTTATTTAAAAGAAATGACAAACTTCATGAACTTAAAAATTCTCATTATCGGATAATATGAAAAGTTCATCATATTCGGCTTCCGTTATATATTCAGGCCCATCATCGAATTCTGTTTCATTTTCACAATCACTGTTACTCTGATCCGTAAATTGATAATCATCTTTTGTTCCACCTAGATTTTTAAATGGCTTTTGTATTATGTTGGGTTTAATTTCATGCCATGCTTTTATTATCCATTCACACACTGTTTCTAAACTGGCATGACACATCTGGCCTCCTTTTGTAAATGTTATTTTATCATCTGAGATCCACGTATTCCACTGTCATTTTAAATTTTCTTTGAATGATTTATTGATGCATACATCTAAAGGCCATTAACATCTAAGGATTAATGGCATTAACATCTATGATGTTAATGGCATTAATCCTCCTGGTATAACTGCCAGGTCTGTATTACACTCTTTCAATAATTTCATCATATTATCCGTTAGATGAGATCTGAACATGTACCAGACTAAAAGACTTCTTGGATTCTTTAAGGCAAAAGGACGCTTTTGCCAAACACTTCTTATTCACAGTTTCATGCCATTTTCGTCCATCCATCCTTTCTCGTGAATATGAATGAAAACATCATTTGGGAAATTATATTTTGACATCGGCTTTCTTTTAAAAATAACCATGGGTTTTATTTTTAGCTGTCAACTAAGTGGAAATCACTATGGTGAAGTGAGATCTTTTGTTACCTGTTGTTTTTATGTGAATCGTTTTGTTCCTTTCACACCCAGTTGTTTTATTTCCTATCATATCAAACATGACTGGAGTTTCATCCGTATTTCCAATATGTGACAGTGCATACTTTTTTTGCCTTTGCAGGTTAATAATATGCTTCTGGAACCTAATCAATTTATTATCCAAATCTTTCAGAAGCCCTTGCAAAACTTTTTTTTTTTTTCTCATAGAACTAAATTATCCTTTCTGGCACTTTTCTAGGACCCAGTTCACAATACTTTCTTCTAGGAAAGGCCATTTTGTTACACCTTTATGCAAAGCACATTTATTCTTTGGCATATTAATTACTATGATTTCATTTTTCTTCCACTCACGTATGGAGCTTTCACCAACACCAAATATCCTTGGTGCAGCATGGTTTCCATTTCCTTTCACAAAATGAATGGCTTTGCATTTAAAACCAGCACCGTGTTTCTTTTCGTGGGAGCCATATTTACTACTAAACGGAACACTAGATCAACTGTAGTTCGACTAACGCAAATGTGATTTACTAAAGCTTTAGATTTTCACTTCAAAAGACTACAGAAAGAAAAAACATTTAACTCCTAATTCTACGAATTCATTCAAGTTGGAATACTCCAAATTATATCCCCCGTTTATCAAAAGCCTACAATAGTATTCTTTTGGATGCCTGCATTAAATACATTCCACGCTCTTTGCAGGAATATTTACTCCCTTGAGCATTTAATCCACACACATATTGTTCCCCTTATCGCTTGACAATTCGGTAAACCGGTAATTTGTTCAAAAGGCTATGGCAAATCTTTGAACAAGTGACCTCAAAAGGTAAGGGCATTGCACATGTATCTTTTAGGTTTCTTCCTGAAGAATTGTGTGTACGTTATGAGGTGAATATACCTAATAATTACAAAATATAACTTGAAATTACAGATGCATGTTATACGCCAGAAAATATGGTATTTATGCCCAAACTTAATATTTGTGCTATCATTCTAAGACTAAAACATATCTGTAAATAGGATACATTATTATTAAACATAACATAATATTTAAAATAATTAATAAATAATATGAGAGTAAAATCAACTTTGTAAAACTTATCAAGTAATTAGCATTAAATTACAAAATTTCCTGAAACATATTTTACACTTACAACAGCTGATGTTTTGCCAGTTGACATAGAAATGATTATTTCTAAGATATACAGTCAAAAGTCTTTAATCCGGACTCGTCGGGACTTCGGCGATTCAGGATTATCGATTTTTCCGGATTATAGATCATCATTTTAAATCTGGTAAGATCGCATGCAGAAATTATAAAATTAAAAATATGAAACCGTAATTTATAAAATAATGAGCAATTATGATCTAAAGGGTATCAAAATTTAACAAAAAAAAAGCTTAATATTTGTTTACTTTATTAAACATTTCTTTCAACGCGCGCATGCGTAAAGCATACATTACGCATAGTCGAAATTAGAAAATTGCAACCAGAAAACTATTTGATTTGTATTCGTGATATTTATAATGACGAGAAATTTGATTTAAATCATATCAAAGATGGAGTAGATCGAGATGAAATACAACATTTAGTAAGGAATTATAAGCCGACTAAAATAAAAACATCTGCCCTGAAGATAACGATAGTGCTGACAGATCAACTTCCAGTTCATTGCTCGCCACGACGTCCCCCCCTCCCCCCGCGCACAGAGCAGCGTGAAGTTGATAAACAGATTTCAGAGTGGTTAGTGAAACAAAGGATATGCCTTTATCCATTTTTTTTGCAGCAATTCCACTTTTTGTTTGATGGACATCAAAACATACTTTCGCTTTGTAGATCCTTTACATATTAGTAAATATATATCGGAAATTGTATTTGACATAATCGAAAGTTCAAGCTTACTTTTATAAAATTGCTGAAACAGCCTGCAAAAAATAATAAGCCGGATCCAATTCGAAGATTAAGGAACAATGCAATCTGCAACATTAACTGAATTAGATAATTTTAGCTTAGCTTATACCGTACGTTATACATTAAACGCACATGTGTAAATGTATTATGCGCATGCGTAAAAGTATTACCCGCATGCATGAATGCATTATGCGTTGACGCATGCGCAGAAAGTTTGTAGCTCTGAGGTCCGGATTAACGACTTTTGACTGTACTTGAATGATTTGCTTCCGATACTTGAATCTTTTTCTTAAAATCTTCCCTTTATTTTCTGTACTTTTCACTAGACACAAGCATGGAAAATATCAAAAATGCTTCTAATCTTATAACATGGGCAGCCATTATAGAAAAGATTTTTTTTATTAATAAAGAAATTGGAAACTTAAATTTAAAAGATTCATCTAATTTGTCTTAATGCATCATAAACAGAGCTAGCACTAAACATTTTCTTACCTGATGCAATCTCTGTCGATCCTAAATCCTGCTGCCTAGTGCCTTTCTTAATTCTGTTTCCAATGCCTGCTCTAAATTTTAAAAGTTTTGCCATTTCTAGATTTTGTTGCTCAGTGTGTCACAAAATTCTGCCACACTAGCTTTGTAACCGGCCCTTACCATATATATTTCATATTTCTTCTGAACGTTTATATGCTAAAGAAATAAAATTAGCCGCTTTTTCTGTACATTGTAAATGAATTTATTTTTTATTTATTATAAATTTTTTTTTAGAATAACAGGAATCTTTAATTAAATCCAAAAATTCTGAAATGAAAAGGAATCATGTTGAAGAAAGAAACTGAATATATAAAGAGAAAGAAAATTATTTTTCAAAGATATGTGCATTTATTATTATGTAAATTACCCAGCTGTTTATGATTCCAGCCTTTATTATAATTTCCCATTTCTATTTTCTTATATGATAGAGTTTTTGAGCCAGCTTAAATAAAAATTTAATTGTATAATCTGTGATCACTAGTCTACATTTTTAGTTTGAATTTTACTGTTCTTGTTTAATTACATCACCATTAGCTGTAAATGATTTTGTTAGCATCAGAACATGCCTTTATGTTCTAAATTCTTTTTAAATAAGAGGCTTATTTAAATCTTTGTCTGATATTGTAGTTACTTTCAGACATAGCAATAATTTGCTTCACTAAGGTCGGGGATTTGGGAATATTTAACTTTTACCAGATCAAGTAAACTCTCATAGGTACATTGTGGAGAGTTTGACAAGTTAGCAGATAATGCATGCATAAACTAGTCAGAATATTTGATTTGCTTATTGAGACAAATTTCTTATTGTTAGAAAAGATGCTTAAAGAGAAGGGAATCAATAAAAATTAGTCAAAATATCTGGGAAGGCTTCAAATTAAAATGACGCATAAATATTTTGTTGAGTGTTATTGTTACAAACATTTTGTTGTTGCTCTTAATGTGTAATTATCCTAATATCTTTTAAGAATCAATGTCATAAATTACATGTATTTTAAATTGTGAAATTTTATTAGATTTTGATTTTAATATGGCTTTTTTAACAAATATCGTTAATAAATAAATAAAATTTAATAGGGGGCATGTAAATCCATAATAACT